ATTTTAAAAATAATAATAAAAAGCTGACAAAATTGAATTGAATTTTGTACGTATTTTGATTACTGCTGGTGTTCAGTAAAGTACCTAATCTTAATTTCAGACATACAATATGTTGCTGGATGTGACGATGTAAAAAATAATGCAATCGTCGGTGTACTGCTGTTGGTAAAACTTCACGAAGGACCAGTGCACTCGATAGTAGAAAAAACTCACACAAAAAATTAAAATAACTATATTTAAATTATCACAAGTGCACACTAAAGGTTTATAGAGAATTCGTCTAAATATATGTTAAACAACAAAATGACTGAACTTGCCGCAGAAATAGTAGAATTCATTAGGTAACTTGCAATAATCTCAATTTTGTCGTTTTTTTTAAAAATTGTTTCAAGTTTCTCAATTATTACAATTTAATTTGTAATATCAACTAAAATACATAGTAAATTTATTTCTGCTGGGATTTTATTTTTACAAATTCGGGTCCAAATTGTAATTTTTATTATTTTCGCTTACGAAGCAATGGGCTAGTAGGATAGGAATATTTAGATAAATTTGCCTTTTTCATTTTCTCCGTGAGGAGTAATTCCTTTATAATTTACCTTATTTCCTTGTTTATAATATTGTTTTTACATGTACATATATTACATACAATTCGCATTAAATCCCTGCTAATTAAAAGGTTTGGTGGTTAGACGATTGTTACATCCACTGTCAATCCTAATTTGAAAAGGTTTCTAAATTCATGCGGAAAATTTAATATCTAGTGTACAGATGATATAAAGTATGTACATTACCTATGTAGATAGAAGATAAAAACATAAACTTATTAAATAGATATTTAATGTAAACATTATGTACTAGCTTTTCCCCGCGGTTTCGCTCGCAGAATTAATATTGTTTCTCCATAAAACCTTTTAACTCCCAATTCACCCTTACAACGTTTTAATTGTATGTAATGTTGCCGTCATAGATTTCAAATACAAACGTAGCAACAACATTTCATCCTTAACGGTTGATTTTTAAAAATTGCCAAAACACGTATTTGCTTAATTTCAACAATGAGCAACCTTCGAGTAAATCCGAGTACAAGTAAAATATAACCCATGGAAACGTTGCAACTTCTTTTCATTTGATTAATAATATCAAACAGCAGATATATCAAGTTTCAAGTAAATTGAACCACAAATAAAGTAAGTCCCAAACAAAAATTGCAACACCTTCCCCTTTTTTAAGATGTCGAGGTAGATCTTTCAGAAATTAAATAAGAGACCATTAAAACG